TTGTCAGTCTGTTGTCAGGAGGGGACCACGTAACAGGACCATAGGAGGAGTCTTCTTTCTTTCAAATGAACAGCCAGTACCAAACTTGGAAACCATTCCCACAAGAGAGCCAGAATTTTATCACAGCAGTTTGTAGAGCAATCTATGGGAAACAGTGTGCAATGAGTCATAATTAACAAAGATTAATGACTGGCTGTGGCCAGGGTACTCCCATCAGTGCCACCACCCTCTCAGAATGACCTTGGCCATCCACAAAGCTGTGCCTCCTGAACCCATGTGTATATGGAGGTGAATGAAAGAAGTGAGCCAGTCAATGCACAAACAAGTAAAAATAGTTTTAAAAGCCTGTTGTGAGCAAGTGGTGTCAAAAGCAGAGCTGTGTCAGAAGCATAGACAGACACGATTGTATCTTTTCCACAATGTCACAATTTACTGAGTAACATTGAACCCACAAGCTGCATCAGTTTCCTTGGCTTTAATTTTCTAAGTACTACTGAGTTCACTTGATAATCCAGAGTCATTGGGAACACAGATTCTTTAACTCCAGTCTTAATTACTAATTTTAATAACTCTCAGATAGCATGTTACACTTTGCACAGTAACATATATGGATTATGAAGCTTCAAGTTTCTGAGGACTGTGCTGGAGGCACAGGCAGAGCTAACAGATGCAGGAAAATAAGCTTTAAGACCTGCAGGTGTAGAGGTGTCAAATGCAGAGGTGTCAAATGCCAGTTCTCCTGTCACAGGCAGGAGAAACTGTGCTCAGAGCTGGAGACTGGGATGGAGGCAGAAGGCCTTTGCTGTGGCAATTTTCCTGGAAGAGGCTCATGACATGTGGCTGGGTGACGGGCCATTGTGCCTACAAGTCTCAGTCTTAGGGTATTCCTTTGATAGACCCAGGTGAGGGGGTTACATCTGGTGTGACTGATAAGCTTGTGTGTCTGATGTTTCTTTCTTTTTTTTTTTTTTTCTGGTACTGGGGCTCGAACTCAGGGCCTTCACCTTGAGCCACTCAACCAGCCCTTTTTTGTGGTGGGTTTTTTCGAGACAGGGTCTTGTGAACTATTTTCCTGGACTGGCTTCAAACTGCGATCCTCCTGATCTCTGCCTCCTGAGTAGCTAGGATTACAGGAGTGAGCCACTGGTGCCTGGCTGTCTGGTGTTTCTGACATGATTTGATGTATTTGACAATGTAATTGCTATTGGCACAAGTAAATTTTTTATTGGTTTGTGCCACATGGCAGGCTGGCAGATGGTGGCTGTTTACATGTATAAACAAGATGCAGAATCATTCTGTTTTGGCACTTATACCCAAGATGGAGTAGCTCAGGTCAAACTGTTGCTTTATAAAATGGCTGAAGACAAGGCTAGGCATAACCGTCACGCTAGGGTTCTATGGAACATAAGTAACCAGAGCTTAAAGCTCTGGAATGATGGAGTTGGAGTCAGAGTAGCTACAATACACAACTTTAAATGTGCAGTGGCAATCTGGGAAAACCTGAACAAGCCCCGCAGCTCCACCCCCTCTTATTTCTACATTAGTGACCACACACTGAGCAGTCCACTCCCATTAGCTTTGCCACAGGCCACGCCATAGGTCAGGATGGTAATGGCTACCCAGGTTATTTTTCAGGAAGCTGGAGGCTGTTTTTGTCCAGCTTAAAACGGTCAAAACCACTGACCCTGCACCAGGCCTTCTTGACCTGACATCGAAAGGCCAAATTCTGCCTTGGGAGCATGCTAACCACCTTCTTCTAAATATGCTCTTAAAAGGAGCCATGAAGATTGGCTACCTACACTCAGACCACCTCCTGTTTGTGCCTTCCCTCACCTCCTCATCTGTGCCCATGCCTCAGACCTTCGTATTTAGCCTGAAAAAGTCCCTCACCCTATCTCGGAGCGGTGGATTATTATTATTATTCTGGTGGGACTGGGGTTTGAACTCAGGGCTTTGTGCCACACCTCCAGTCCATTTTTCTCTGGTTATTTCGGAGATAGGGGGACTCACGAACTATTTGCCCACGCTGGCTTCAAACCACGATCCTCCTAATCTCAGCTTCCCAAATAGCGAGAATTACAGGTGTGAGCCACCAGCACCTGGCTGGGGAGGTGGATTTGAGACCTGCTTTTGTCTGTTCTCTACACACGGTTGCCTCATGAATAAACTCTTTTTCTTCTGTGAAACTGGTCGTTTCTGTGATTGGCACCATGGGCAGAAGTGGTCAGGTTTTATATGTGAGCACCAATGCCGCCTACAAGAGCATTCCAATGTTGGCTTTAACAGGAAAAAGCTTCAAAATAGCCACTATAAACATACTCACAGAACTAAAGAAAAGCACAGTTACATGAAGTAAGGGAAGATACGACAATAGTGTCACATACACTAGGGACTATGAAGAAAAAGACAGGAATTGTAGCGTAGAACCAAATGGAAATTTCCAAATGAAGTGGAAAGGCACCGTAACTGGAATTTAACACTGAATGCAAATTTCTGGTTTCCCATCTAATTAGTCATCTTTTGTTCTGACCACCAGAAAAGGTTGGAGAAACTGACAATTAGCAACTTAGGTCAGTCAAAAAAGTGAATCATGGTGCAAACTGCTACCCCCAAACCAGACAATCAGGAAACACAAATTCAGCTCCCTCATGAGATCATTGCACAGGAGGGGAGCAGAAGCCCGCCAGGGTCTCAGAGTGGAGATGAGAGAAAAATCCCTTCCTGCTTCCTGCAGGGGACAGGGAACCAAACAGCTCAGAAACAGCCCAGAGCAGCCTGTTCCCTCAGCCAAGGGCTGCCTGCCAGCTGCAGCCCTTCAGCCTGCCTGTACCCTAAGAGGAAGATGGGGGGCTGAGAAGGGCTTGTGAAGGTCACAGTTCCCTGACTGAGGCCAATCAAAGCCAAAGCCCATAGTGTTCCCTCTGTTCTCACCTGACCACAAAGACAGTGACAGTGATCTTGGGCTCTCCTGGAGTGCAGACCAGGGCTGGAGGGACAGCAACGCTCATGTTAAGAGGAATTCTCTAAGAAAACTCAATGCCAATGGAGAGAGAAAATGAGGGCTCTTGAGGAAATTTCACAGCATGTCAATACAAACTCCCAATGCATAGGGCTGGAGGTGTGGCTGGAGTGATAGAGCTCTGCCTAGCAAGTACAAGGCTGTGAAATCAAACCCCAATACCACCAAAAGAAAAAAAATCTCTCCTCTATTTCATATATACACAAAATTGCAAGGCATGCTAAAAGGCATGCTAAAAGGCAAAAACAAACTCTGAAGCAACAAAACAAGCCACAGACCTCAACATAGCACAGATGTTGGAGCTATCAGACTGTGACTCAAAAATAACTGAATAGGAGGCTGTTTTCCTTCTTTAAAAAATTGATAGACATTATTTGTATGTATTTCTGGGTTTTGCTGTAGACTTTATTTTAGTTTTTTGGTGATACTGGGGATTGAACCCAGGACCTTCCATGTGCTAGGTAGGACCTGCTCTACCACTGAGCCAGATCCCAAGCCCCTTTTCCTTATTGTTAGTTGATTTGGAGTCAACAATTTGTTCAGAATTATAATATAAACATAGATTAGATGGCTGCAGTTTATGACAAGTGAAATTAAAGACAAAAATGTCACAAGATTGGGGAGACGGCTGGGAGCACTGTCAGAGGTTCCTGTGGCACCAGAAAGTACATGGGTGAACATGGACTTGTATTTGCAACTCCAGAAAGAGAACAGAAAAACTGTTCTTCAAAGATTAATAAAGTTGACAAACCTTAGTTAGATTGACCAAGGGACAAGGAGGGATGACTGAAATGACTATAAACAGAAGGTGAAGAGGAGATGTCACTTATAACCACATAGAAATAAAAAGAGCATAAAGGAATACTGTGGACAGCTGCGCACCAACAAGTCAGATAACTTAGACAAAATGGACCAATTCCAAGAAAGGCACCAACTTCTGAAATGGAATCAAGAAGATACGGTATCTGAACAGACCTGTAACGGGCACAGATTAAGTTAGCAGTCAAAAATTAGCCACAGATAAAAACCCAGGCTCAGATGATGTCATCACTGAATCTACCAAGTGTTTAAAAAAGAATTAATACCCACTCTTCACCAACTTCCCCCAAATAGAAGGGGGAGCACTTCCCATTTTTTGAGGCCAGCATTACCTTGATACCCATATCAGACAAAACATCTCACGACGAAGTCTACAGACCAATACCTCATGAATTATCTTCCACAGAACACCACCACACTGCAGCCAGTGACACGAAAGGAGTTACTCACCATGACCGGGATTTGTCCCAGCACGTTTGTCTAGAGGGAGTTACTCGCTGTGAGTGTAACTAGAATGTGTTGAGGACCTGCAGCATTCCTTTACAGAACACACTGATGTGTCCATCATGCTAAGTAATTTAGAGGCCACTGCCGTAAACATGGCCAGGGGCTTTGTCTTCAGTGAGTCTACCTTGTACTAGCCTGGCCTGAGCATTATGCTGCCCTAGCCGGCATACTTTGTCCACCTGCAGAATGTAAACTGCACCTTTGTTCGGACTTCTGCTGGCCCATTTTATTTATTTCATAGAAATTGATTTCCCAGATGTTGATATTAAACAAATTCCAGTTGTGCTTTTCATCTGAACTGTTAATTAAAATTAAGTGCTAATGATTCTTAAAAATTAACCATGTAATCTACGATTTGGACAAATCATACCAAAATAAAAGTCATCATCTCTCAAAAGCCATTACACTTCAATCACATCCTACACTTACTCTCACATATGCGCTTCAGGTGACACAGGAAGCTCCTCAAACTCCACCCTCAGGTGCTTCACAGGACAGCATGAAACTGGCCTTGGCGGGAGGGGCTGTCCCTGGCACTCCTAGCTGTAACGTGAAACTCCCCAATTTACACTCTCACATCAACCCCTAGAAATTTCACCAACTTACAAAGAACAGGAAACAAATTATCTGAGAAAGAGAAACCACTGGTGAAAGGGCGGGCTCAGCCTCCAGAGCCCAGAACTGCTCCTTCCTTCTCACCACGACACACAGTTCCCAACCTTCCCTCAGAACACTTGTGTCCGCCAAAGCCAAAGATGCAAAAGGAGCAGCATGAGGTGGCCGTGCTGGGAGGACCCCAGGGCTCAGCTCCTGTGACCACCACAACCACCGTGATCAACATGCCCAAAGACATCTCCCTGCCTGACCATGTGGTCTGGTCTCTGTTCAACACGCTTTTCGTGAACTTCTGCTGCTTGGGCTTCATTGCCTATGCCTACTCTGTGAAGGTGCGTATGGTGCAGGGGTGGGGGGAGTGACAGTCAAGAAGGAGTTTGTGAACCTGAAGCTCCACCACCCAGATAGTACCTGGGATGTGAGTGTGTGAGGGAGACAGAGAGAGAGAGAGAGAGAGAGACAGAGAGAGAGAGAGAAGGAGAGAATGTCTTGGGGAATATCTTGTGGAAGCCACAAGGGGGTCAGACTCAGTCCCCACACCAGCCTAAAGGAATTCTCCCTGAAGCCCATGCCAGAAATGTCCCCTTCACCTTGCACCAGGGGTGAAGCCCCAACCAGAAAGTGGAGCCCAGGTTGTGTGGAAAACACAGAGGGGACTCAGGAGCGACTTTGCTCCCATGGTGGGGTGAGCAGCCCTACTAGGACCCAGGCTGAGTGAGGGCAGGTGGAGGCTGCAGTGGGCAGGGAGGACTCTGGGGATGCAAGTCAGAGCACCTGGCTCTCACCTAACCCACACCAGAGCTCCTCACCATCTGGTCTCCTCCAGTCCAGGGACAGGAAGATGGTGGGCGATGTGACTGGGGCCCAGGCCTATGCCTCCACTGCCAAGTGCCTGAACATCTGCGCCCTGGTCTTCAACATCCTCACGGCCATCGTTCTCATCATACTTTTTGCCACCAGCTCTCTGGTAGCCTATAAAGCATATGAACAGCAGATGAAGAATCATGGAGGCTTCTAGTCCTGCCATGCCCTCCACCCTCTGTTGCTGACTCTCACCCTAGGGCTGAGGCTCTGACCCACCACCCCAGATTAATGCAGCCGCTCACATCCACACATCTGTGCAAGACTGGATTCAATAAAGTGCACGTGCTTGTGAGTGTGCTGTGACATTTTTGGGGAGGGAGCGTTGCTGGGGACCCCAGCCTGGGCCTGAGACTGAGTCCACCCTCATCCCTGTGTGAGGGGAGCAGGACATGGGCTCAGGTTGGCAGATTTCTGGCTTCCTGCTGTGGGCAGCAGCCGACCAGCATCCTGGGTGGGGTCTTCCTTCCCGGTATTGGACCGCTGCAGGCAGGCTGGTGCTCAGCGTGGCCAACGTTGACCCCATGCCCCCGGAACCCCAGGAGAGGGTGCAGAGGACCTGACCCAGGGAGTCCAGGTTCAGGGTGGGACCCAGACACAGAGGTGTCCTCTGCGCTGTGTGGTGGCCTCGAGGTGTGGGGATCTGGATTTTCACGGGCTGACGGAGCACACGGCCCGCTGCGGCTCTGAGCTGGGAGCTGGGAGCTGGGGAGTCTGTGCTGCCCCTTCCCCGTGGCCACCCCGCACCCCGCTGTGAACCGACCCTCCCTCCCCCCCGTCCCCGCAGCTCTCAGGTTTGTTCCAGGGGCCCCAGGGTGGGCGGTGCAGCGCTCCCTGTCCACGCAGGGGTCCACTGCGCGCTCAGGTCACCCGAGCTCTGACCCTCACTGTGGGCCTCGGATTCTCCCCTAGCGTCCGCGGGATCCGTCCTGCAGTTCCTTGCTTCCTGAACTGCCATGGTGGGTTTTAAATGAATCCAGAACGCCGGGGCCGCTGGGTGGGCCCTAGGCTTCCGGGTGTGCTAGTGGGGAAGGGCAGGGGCTTCAAGCAAGGGCAGGGCTAGCTCGTAAGAGGAAGGGGTGGGGGGCACTCTGCAGGCCCAAGGGTTTGGGACCTCTGGCTCAGGATAGCAAACCCTCCTCCATGTGTCAGGACCCCAAGCTTTTCCTCCAGTCCAGACTCTGGCAGAGCAAATCTGCCCAGGGCGGGAATTTAACCACTGGAGTCTCATCAATCAAAGGAGTCTCTCCACCCAGCTGCGAGCTTGGAGAAGGAGCACATCTAGCTGGGAGCAGCCTGACCAGCCTTAGTCAGCTGCTTACCTGTCTACCCTTCTGTCTTCATGCATGTGTCCCAGCCTGTGTTCAGGCTGGGCAATGCCAGGTGTCCTTCTCCAGTTACTTCTTCCTGGGATTGGTCCCTGGGCAGTAGGAAGGCAGTACTCTCTCCTGAGTGTGTAGGCCCCAAAAGTGACCACACGGAGAGGAGTGATCTGGGGGAGAGATTCTTTATTGCCGGGTGGGAGAGGGAGAGAGCAGAGAGAGAGAAGAGAGGGAGGGGGAGGGGAGGGGAAGGGGGGAGAGAGAGAGAGAGAGAGAGAGAGAGAGAGAGAGAGAGAGAGAGGCTTAAATACCCCTCAGTGAGACTTGGCATGATCTGATTGTTTAGGATCTTATGGTTCATGCTGATTGGAGGTTGGGGCAGAAGGAGAATTCAAGCCAGACTTGAGGCAGGACCGTGACCCTGGGAAACAGAAACTTAAGGGTGCAGTAAGAACTGAAACCTATCGGCGCCATTATTGCCAACATTCCTCCCTTTTTTGTTTGTTAAGGAAGGGGAACGTTGTGTTCACTCTGGCTTCTTCGAGCTGGCAAGGGGTGGTGTAGGGGAAGGGAAGGGTCAGTTGGCAAATAGTGTTGGGGTGGTGAGTCTCATGATGGCGTACACCCATGCTCCAAAGGTGAAAATTTCCTCTTCCCTGAAGTTGATGAAGGTCCCTTGTAGCCACAGGTCATAAAGAGTCTTGGGCCAATCCTCCGACCTCTGCATGGTGGGTATCAGCCAACTATCCTGGCGTTTTGGAGAGGTTGATATCCCTGGAGGTACAACTGGTTAAATTTTTGATTAGCAATAGCAGACATGCAGTATGATACAAGGGAGGAAGCTTAAGAATGGGACAGCAAGAAACATAGGCATTAGGATGGGCATTGGCCAGGAGAACCACTGTGAAATGTTGTTCCCTAGACAATTTCAAGAGTCCTCCAACTCCCTTCTCCATTTTCTAATTGTTTCTTGAGAGGTGCCACCATTGGGGAACCCATTGAGCTTGACAGCAATGGGTTTCATGAGAATGGCCAGATGAGGGCTGGTCCACCGAAGTCCCAATGGAGAGAGTAGAAGATCCTTTTTGGAGAACAAGATGCCCTAGTTTAACAGAAATTGTTATAGAGTGGGGCAGGATCTGGTTTGCATGCTCTCTGAGAAGTTCCCTGAGAAGACAGGTAGTCAGCCAGAAGAGCAGAGTCTGTTGGAGGCAAGTTTTCTAAGAGAAATGGGTGGCCATACATTATCTAAGACCCAAATAAGAATATTAGGAGGAGCATAAAAAGGTGTCTGTTCAGGGACTACATGCCTAGGGATCTAAATTCTGCAAAATCCTATAATTGCCAGGAAAGCTGTAAGCTGTCTTATGGTATGGAGGTTGGGAAACGGAAGATTGGGTTGATGCATTTATGACTCAGGGAGTGAGTCTGTCCCTTTAAGGCCACACCTAGGTAGGTGACCTGTGGGAGGCAGGGGCTGTCAGGATTTAAATGTAACACTCTTGGCTAAAAGAGAGCTTTAGCTCATTATTTTATATAAATTGACACTTTTAACTTTTTAAATGTTTGTACCATATTTAGATAAAGTATAACATAACACTGTCACAAGGTGGTCATTTAAGACACACAAGCAAATATGTAAATGAACTCTGATTTAGTAGTACTTAAAGCTTGACAAGATCAGCAGAAAACACAAAAAATTTCTTTGATAAAATCTTTCTCTGTAATGGTTTTTTGTAGATGTTACTCAGAGCAGAACAATATTAAGATAACCTTGTTATTTCATAGACATAGAGGATTTGATTTTAGTTTGACATGACCCTAAAAATCTTTTAGGCAACTTTTAGATTACATTCAACTTTAACTTTATCACACACCAAAGCTTTTTTTATACACTTTTCAAACTTACTCAGACCCTCATACAACATACTAAACCCTTTGATGGTTTGTCCTTATCCTTCCTATTTGAAACAATCTTTAGGACAAACCCATCTTTCCAAAATCCCTTCTCATCCAAAAAACCATTCCTTTTTCCTTTAACTTCTCAAAAAATACACTTATTACCTGTCTATATCCTTTCAAGTTGTTTACTTTGTAACTTGTATTTTAAAATTAACTTTTATAAGAATTTTAAGTTTATTGCAGGGGCTGGAGCAACTAATTAGTAGTCCTTGTTGTTTAAGGAATAGACATAAGGCCTCATCATCCCTCAAACTTGAGGGGATATTGTTTTAGGTGTGGAAACTGTGAGGGATTTTTGAGTTTTATTTGAATACGGAGGGCCGTCCTGGCTCCCCCTACACTCATCTCATCAGTCCACACTGTGAATCTCTTTGTTCCTGAAGGAGGGGGCAGCAGAGATAGCTGCCTGGGGGAGGGGGGAGGAGAATTTGAGCTTTTAATTGAGATAGTAAAGGAGGAGGTCTCCCAAGGGCAGTCCAGAGGCCAGGTAAACTAGCGCTCTAGGGGCTGGCCATATTTGCCCCAAACGATAACTTTTGTCATTGGACCGGGGACCAGGAGAAAAAGGTAAAACAGAGAAACGGGCTCCACCGTCTAGGAGGAAAATGACCTTTTGTCTTTCTGCCATTATGGCTCCTCAACATTGATGCCAAGAAGTGGAGTATGGACAGGTGGCTGGGACCCATCACCCATCAATCTGTAGGAGGTGGCACCTCGCCTTCCATCTGGTGACAGGGGCACTTAGCCCTCCAGTGGTTACCCTTGCAGAGGGCAGGGTCCCGGTTGGGTCGGAGCTGTCTCCCGGGCTGTCCCCCCTTAAGCATTCTCTGCAGAAGTGCCCCTCCTGTCCACCATATAGCAAGTTCAGGATACAGGCCCCAGTCGGGTGGGGCCCTCTCTGAGAGCAGCAATGAGGCCATGGTGTCTCTTATCTTTTTCTCTCCTGTTAGGAAGGTCCTGGACATACAGACATGGCCATAAATACAGACATGGCTAGCTGTATTACTTGGCTCAGTGACTTTTCCCTTCAGCCACAGTCTGAGTTTTTACGAATATCTGGGGCTGACTGTTGAAATTTATCTTTGAGGAGAACCTCTCTCACCTGTGACTCTGAGTCCACCGTGGTATGCTTTCTGATAGCGTCCTTAAGATGCTGTAGAAAGGTAAGAGGATTTTTTTTTAGGTTGTTGCTGTAAAGTTGTTATTTTACATTGACACCTGACACTCTGGAGAGCAAGTTTCTGAACTGTTCTGGGCCTCAGTTTCCTTGCTTGAAGAATGAGGGATCTGGTCTAGGTTAAACTATGTTTTTCTACTATGAGATGGCTGAAGTGACATTAATGCCACTTATCTCCTTTACCATTTTTAAATTTTTTTTAGTAATGTTGGGAAATTGAACCCAGGGCTTTGCACATGCTGGGCAGACATTCTCCCATTGAGCTACTTCCTCAATTATTATTATTATTATTATTTTTTACTTTGGCTGTACTGGGCTTGAACTCAGGACTTTATGCTTGTAATTCGGCACTCTATTGCTTGAGCCATATACTCATTTCCAACCTGAGTGGCCTGGGCCAGAACCCATTGCTTCTCTAATGAGATAAGAGTCTGGTCTAGTAGAAGCATAATATCCTTTCATGTCAGTTGAAAGGTTTGGATCACAGAGATAAAGGCTTGATTATATTTGTCTGGGCATCAGTACACCTGTTTAGATGTTTTTAAATTTCCCTTAGATCTGATAACTGGAAGGGGACATAGATTTGCCCTCTTCCTACCATTGCCTGTTGGAGAGGGAAGCACTCGTTAAGAGGTTCTGAGTATTGGAGTGGCTTAGAAGGTAGAAATTTGTATAGGGGACCTCAGTTTACTTTTTTAAACTTTTTAAGAAAAGGTCTATTGGAGTATGGTATTGTAACTTAAGGAGCCCTGTGAAGGCCACTTCTCTTGGTCACTCAAGGTATACTGAGGCCAGGCCTCAGTACAGAGCTTACAACATCTACCAGCCAGGAGACTGGAAGATGCAGGTCCCA